GACAGCCAAGAAAGTTTCATTAATTGAGTTATGGTCACATGGGCAGTAGTAAGTGGCGGAGCTAAAAACTAAAATACTACCAACTGAAGGAACCCTTCTCCATTGATGGTGGGAGTGCAGACTGGTGCAACCACTGTGGAAATCAATATGGAGCTACTGCAAAAAACTAGGATCAGAGGTTCCATTTGACCCAGCTATTCCCCTGCTGGGTATCTTCCCAAAATAATTTTAAAAATCATACCGCAGCAATATATGCCCACCCATGTTTATAACAGCACAGTTTGTCATAGCTAAAATGTAGAAAAAGCCCATTTGCTCATCAACTGGAGACTAGATAAGAAAATGTGGGTCTTTAAAAAAAATAAAACGGAGAACTAATCAGCCATAAAGAATGAGAAACTAGAGACATTTACAGCTAAGTGGATGCACATTGAGGCCATACTCTTAATTGAAATAAATAGGACACACATTAGTAAATATAAATAATTTCCCTGGTGTGAGAAACTAAAAGTGTAAATAAGGATCAAAATGTATAATTGATAATGCGAAATAGGAAGAAAGGGTCTAAATGGGGTATGGGAAGTGGGAGGGTAGGGGAAAGGAAAGAAGGGAAAGGAAAAAATATAAGAAAAGGAAAAAATGGAAACAAAGTCTTTGTAAATAGGGAGGGGTAGAAGGTTTGAAGAGAGGGCAGGGGAGTGGGGAAAAATAAGAACCAAGATACATCATGCAAAGGTACAAGATCCCAATGACGTAACTGTATTGTATATCTAAAATGTTCCAAATAACCTTATGAAAAGTAGAATAAAATAATAAACAAATAAAGTAATAAACATTCATTACCACATATGATTTCTGTCGCAGCACATTTAGAACTGGCTTAGTTGGATGTTTGTAGCTGAGGAGTCTCTCAGAAATTCACAGTCAACGCTTCAGCCAGAGCTGCAGCCATTTAGAAGCTTGAGTGGGATTGGAAGATCCCCTTCCAAGGTAGCTCACTAACATGAAGGGGCCACAACCGGCAGGAGGGCACTGCTCCTCACCATGCTGACTTTGCCAACGGGCGAAGATCTTCATGACAAGGCAGCCAGCTTTTCCCAAGGTTAAGTTGCCAGAAATATAGCAAAGCTGGAATGAGTACAGTTTTGTGATCTAGGAAGTCACAAATTCATTTCCACAATATCCTCTAATGTGAGAGAAGGGGCTACAGAAGGGCTTAAATATGAGGGGAAAAGATCATTAGGGACTAGGGACCATTTTGGAGATTGGTTACCACAGGAAGTGCTTACTTTCATGCTTAAAGAATCTTGATCTTTGAGAGCTCAGCAATTATCATGCAGGACCCAGTCCATCTGTTAATGGTATTTCAGTTTATACCTGTTTTGGATTATTCTTGGTGCCACTTTTACTTATCGCTCAATTCCACATGTTGGTTTCCTTGTCTTATTTGTTAACAAGCTCACCAATGAGAAGGCATCATTGCTTAAGAGAAGCTGGGAAAATAGAAATAAAGCCTAAGTGAAGAATATTTTCAGGCTGATAACTTTTAATTCTAGGGTTCTGGAAAAGCGCTTATAGCTGACCAAGATATGAATTATAACAACGGATTTTTCATAAGAGTTAGACAGGTAGTTAGACATTAACAGACCTACATGACAAATGGAGGAAGCTAGAATAGCATTTCTTGCCAGTTATAGTTAATTAAAGAAACAAAGACTTCAATGTATGATACATCTATACTCATTTGTTAGGTCTCAGACCTAAAGCAGTCCCACAGAGCACAATGACATTGTAAGGTTACACATTGTGTACAGTCCTTCTGATATCTGGCCACTTGGCTATTTCCAAAACAAGGCATACAGCATTCCTGGGAGCCATGGCTTCTCATTGGGCTAAGACCTGATTTAGATTCTTACTTTATTAAGGAACTTAAGGGAACACTGACCACCTGAGAGGAACAAGGAAGACATTTTTGAGATATCCACATTCCGAAGTAGTTCCCCCCAAAAATGTTGAAAAGCACACACACATTGTGTGATAGTTAATAAAGCAATGATAGCACCATGGTTCCCTGAATCCCAGGAGTAACTTTTGTGTGCATAAAAAGATATCCAAACTCACCACCCAAGGCAGATGCTTTCATGGCACTGTCCTCCACCTTCTCCTGAAGGCATGAATCTCTATATACCTACTTTTCAGTAAATTCTGTCTAAACTTTCTGCATGGCTGCCTATGTGTTGTGACTGAATTCTTTCATCAAAGGCACAAAGAATCAAGGAGCAAGGAACTGCTGCATCAGGATTCAGTGTCCTAGTGACTTAGGTAGGACCTAGTCAACTTCTAAAAGTTTAGAATTTACTTTCTGCGATTATAATGTACTCTATTTCAGTAAGTGGACATGAATTAAATGCTTCTCTTTAACTCATACCTTTCTAATGATGAGTTCCTCAGAGGATCCCTAGCATTTCTTTCACAAAACTTTTACCTTTATATTTTGGAACACAACATTATACATGCCTATGTCACTATACCAACTCCACGTCCCTTAAAATCAAAGTCCATTTCTATTTCATCTCTTCCCTCTACTCAGGATTTAACACAAGTGTATTCTCCACTTTCCTACCCAGTTTTTCCATTTGTTCCTTCCTTTATATAAGTAGATAGATGGCAGTGTTTTATTTGTAGAGGACCATGTGCCTGCAAAATCACAAAGGCCCATGACTGTTTACTTGATTTTTGTATTCCAAAAGCCCATGCACTCAAAAGATTGACATGGACTTGAGAATTAAGAAAAAAATACTGGTTATAAAAAGCAAGAGAGTGCACAGTGCTTTCCTTATTCCAAGCTCTCAAGAGGCCATGCAGACAAAAATCAGGCACATCTCAATGGCAACCAGGCATGTAGCTCCTCAACCTCTCCACTTTACACAACTCACTCCATCTTATACAAAACCTCAGGAAAAGGAGATGGGGGCAAGTTGTATGTCTTAGTTACTTTCTTGTCACTTGGACACAATACCTGACACCCACAACTTATAGGAGGAAAGGTTTATCGTAGACTCCTGACTTACAAACTCAATTCTTTCTCTTACAACTTGTTACTCAAGTTGGCCAATTGAAGGCTCAGCCTCCTCTAAATGACCTTCACAGTCTCTCTCCTGTGTACAAGCAGATCTCAGTGTCCTTAGACATTGGCCTAGAATTTTTCAATTAGTCCCACACAGGAAAGGATGTTGTAACGTTCCTTCCAGAATTCTGTTTAAGGGTTAAATCTATATCTGAGACCATCTGGAAGCACAAGCAACTGTCATTCAAGTTCTAACTCTAGACTTTGGTCGTAAATTAAAACTAAAATAAACCAAGTTCATACGTCAGGCCAGTCATAACTTGAGGATTCACTGTATTTTAGCTCACAGTTTTAGAGGTTTCAGTCCACAGTTGGGTGGGCTGAAGGCAGGACATTATGGCAGAGGGGCATTGCAGAGGAGGAAGATGTCATGGCAAGGCCCAAGAAAGAGATCAAGGGAGGAAGTGATAGGCACAGGCCACTCACCCAGAGACCCACCTGGTCTATCCAGGCTTCACCTCCAACATCACTTTTAGCTCTAATCTCATCAGCGAATTAGTCAAGCCTCCATGATCCAATAACCTTCCCAAGCCTTACCTATGAGTGCATGAGGCTTTGAGAGGTATAAACCATAACATTGGTATAAAACTTAACATTGTCTGACTCTTAACTTTCTGCCACACCATCAGAATGTAACTTGAGATACAAATAGTTGAATCCCGAAAAGTAAAGAAGTTTACATTACAGACTTTATTAAAGACTGACACTCCTAACTGTTACGTTTGTTACTCAGTAAACACCTGTTAAATGAGTAATAGAAAAATAAAAAGTCGTCAAAGATTCTGGTTTGCCCAGGGTGGAAGCTCTTTCATGAGGCAGAACCAGGCAAGACAGACAAAGAGAAAGACAAGGACTGCTGGGCATTCTGGGCAGCACACAACTAAACCCCAGAATTCTGGGAGGCTAAGGCAGGAGTATCATAAATTCAAGCTCATTCTGGGCAATTTAGTGACTTGGCAAGAGCCTGTCTCAAAATTAAAAAAAAAAAAAGGAGGGGAGGCTAGGGATGTAGCTCAGTGCAAAGTATCCAGGGGTCAATCAACAGTACTGAAATTATGGCCTGCAGGTGAAGTAAAACCTCCCATCAGTAACTCCAACACTTCCCCGGAGGTCTTTTCTCTAAAAAATGTAGGCAGGGTTTTATTTCCTTGGGTTCCCAGTAGAGAGGTGAGATGACTCGATTAAAAAAAAAAAAAACCAAAGTTTAGTTTCAATAACGTGTGTGAAAGCGTTTAGCACTCAGGCAAATATTTAACAATGAAATTTAATACGTCTTACTCTCAGTTCTTTTGTCCCAATCTAATTAATCACTTTAGTGACGCCCCCCCCACTTCTGGGCCCGCCTCCTTCAGCCCGTAGGATTGGCTCTTCCTCCACTTCCGGCGCCTGGGACCCTGGTGCAAGTGGCTTCCGGTGTCATGGCAGCCTGCGGTTTAGGTAGTCGGTGAGGCGGCTGCGGGCCCTTGCGGAGCCGCTGGTTCGGCGG